GTGTTCTACTACTGGGGTTTGAACTCAGATAACTAAGATATTGCGGGCAGCCTGTCACCAGTGTCTCATGCCTGTAATCCTTGTTGAGTTCTGAGGAGTGGGGTTTGAAGCCATCCTGGGCAGGAAAGTCCATGAGACTGTTACCTTCAGTTAAAAATGGTAGAAGTGGAGCTGTGGCTCAAATGGTAGACCACTAGCTTTGAGCAAAAGAAGCTCAGGGACAGTGCCTAGGCCTTGAGTTCAATCAATCCCCAGGACTGGAAGAAAAAAGAAAAGGAGATACTGGGGCAGCCTTGCACTCTTTGCTCACACTTGTAATCCTAGCTTCTCAGGAGGCTGTATCTGAGGATCATACTTCAAAGCCAGCCCTAGCTGGCTCTTTGGTTCTGATCTCCAAAAAAAGCCAGAAGTGGGGGCATGGGTCACATGATACAGCATTAGCCTTAAATGAAAAAGCCAAGTCTAGAGCATGAGACCCTGAGTTCAGGCCCAGTACTAGTTTAAGGGAACTGAGTGGGGGCCTTCTTAATGTTTTTAGATAAGGTAACATAAAGGGTGTTGCTCATCTAGGGGATAGAATATAGGGATGGTTAGTGTCATCAGAATTTAGGGTTGAGTTTTTACTCTGGCTAAGGGTTGTATTCTGCTTTGTGACGTTAGACCTCACCTAGCTTTTTCAAGTATGAAACTGACATTTGCTTTTGGTTAACTTGCCATTGCTTTAAACGTGGGATGTCCCAAGCCAAACCCTCTTCTCTCCAAACCATGGGCCATCAATTCTCCCAGACTGGCAGCATTGGCATTTCTGACCTCTTACTCCCTTCTCTTCTCACCAGGAATTTCTTTCTGTGTCTGTCCTTTCAGCTACATGCTTCAGTTTATTGCCAGCAAAATCTTAGTTCTTCCGAGAACCTTTGGTTACTTTATTTAATCACTTGAAAAATCCCCTTTCTCAGAGTACTTAATATTTATTATCTTACTCATCTTGGCACTTAACCCCAGCTGCATAACTCAGTGTTTGTTTTGCCTCTCCAGGTTGCTGGCGGGCCCGGTGGGGAGGGTGACTTTCCGCTCCCCCTGGTGCTGGCGTGGTAGGCCCCCAGTGACCACTTCTTGGAATGGGATGGTTAGAATGCAGTCAGCCGATGAGCTGGCTATCTGTACCTCTTGCTAAAAGTGGTTTTCATTCTTTGTAGGTTTCATGTGGACAAAATCTCTTCAGCTCATGTATACCTTCGATTACATAAGGTAATAATTCAAACATGGATTCATGATTTTCTTTAATGATGAGAACAATATCTTGATTTTTTTTTCTTCAATTAAGTTGCTTAAAATAATAAGTATACTCAGAAATTTAAAAGCGAGTAAGTAAAAGAGATGTATTCCTTTCCCATCTTCTGCTTCAGAAAGTCATTGGAAAATTCTGGGTGATTTCTGGGACTTAGAAAGGGCCACAGTACACATTAGCCACATAGCAGCTCTGCCTTGTCCTGCTTGTTCAGGTGTATCATTTATCTCCTCTACTTTTTCTCCCAATTCAGACTTCTCTTATGGTTCCTTTTTCTCAGGCTCATGCTATTCTCCTACTCACCGAGGGCAGATGTTTCCAGTTATCAGGGCCTTTGTTGAGCAGCATGACAATAATAAAGATTGAGTGTTCCCTCTAATACAGTACTGCTGTTCTTCCAATTTGACTGTAGTCATCTGTTTTATATAGTTAAATCACAGGACATTTATACTTGTATACTTGTTATATGTACTTTTTTCTTTTTAGAAACTTTATTTTGGAATAATTTTAGATTTGCAGGAAAGTTATAAAAAGAACATTAACTGTTAACATGTTATGTTACTATGGTAGCTTTGTCAAAACTAAGAAGCCAATTGTAATACATTACTATTAGCTTCACTCTGGACTTTATTTGAACTTCAGCAGTTTTCCCATGAATGTCCTTCTCTTCCAAGATCCATACTGTGTTTAGTTGTATCTGCCCTTGCCTCCTGTGGTCTATTACTTCTGGAGTCTGGGGCATACATACTCCCGAATGCATCTGGAAGGAAGCGTGTGTCTATCTCCCACTCACTTGCATGAGTATGGATTCATCTCTGCTTTCTGCTTTGGGCACTATGCTGTATTTTTGCTCCTGTTACCCCAGCTTTGGTTGGAATTTGTTCAGCCCTTTCAGCTTGGCTCCTGTCTTCCTCTGGTACATGTCCATTTGTTTGTTTTTTGAGCACTTTCTTACTTTCTGACCCTATAAGGTACTTATGTCATCCTTGCCCCAGCCAGAGAATCTTGTTTTCCAAAGAATCTAGTTGATCTTTTTGGTAGGAAGGTAATTGAAAGTCAGAATCTGGATTCTGGATATACCTGCGGCCATTGGAGTATCAATATGTGTAAGCCCTCTCAGCTCAGCTAGGAAATCCCTAACCAAGCGGAACGTCCCTAACCTGAAAATGCAAAATCTGAAATGCTCCAGATTCTGAAACTATTTCAGCCTTGATGTGACATGATGTGGAATGTTCCACGCCTGAGTGCACGTGACAGATCACAGTCAAAACACAGTACATGAAACATACTGTATAACAATGCCAGCAGGTATTATATGTATAACATGTATGAAGTAGTAAATGAATTTCGTGTTTAGACCCGATTCCCAACCCAAAATAGTGTATAAACAGATCTTCCAGATCTCCCCCCAGTACCCCAAGAATAATCTGGTATCTAAGACACCTTTCAGTTAAGGGTTATTCAACTTGTACTATTTTATGGATACTGATCCATGTATGTGCACATACCTATATTTGTTTTTGTGTTTCTCCATCTTGATTTCATCATGTAGAACTTGAGTACTGGTATCTCTGCATGAGGCCCATTCTGCCTTTCTCTTGTCTCTTCCTCTGCCACTGGGAAAAGCTTACTATTATTATTTCTTACTCCTAGTTTCTTGCTCCATTCCAGCTTATGTGTAGCTGGTGTTAGAATTATTATCTGAGATCGCCATTAGAGCTCTAGAGAGCTAGAGTGCCGTGATGGTATACAGGCATTTTTGTCTTTTACTCTGTGGCTGTTAGAACATTACTTTCCAAAATTAACCATAAGCTGCCTTCTCTTCCCCCCTTTGGTGATAGGATGTCCTGCATTTTTGTATCACAGTGAGATTATTTTATGTCAGTCTGCATCCATCTTATCGTCACCTGGTTGATTGTCTCACTTTTTTGAAATGTCCATGTCTATACTTTTTTGTGGTACAAGATTATTTTTGTATTTATCCTTTTACTTACTACATTATGCTGATAAGATACTACAATGACTATGGAAACTCCTTTATCAGGAGGTTGTTTATAGTTTTTTAGCATTATAAATTCCAACAAAACAGTTTGTTTGAGACAAGGTCATTATATTGTCCAGGCTGCTCTTGAACGCCCAGGCTCTTCTTACCTCAGCTTCCAAGTGGGCTATATGTGGCACTGTACCCAGTTTGGGATTCCTTTCCTTCCCCTTCCTTCCCCTCCCCTTCCCATCTTTTTCCTTTTCTGCCACTACTACTAGGGCTTGAACTCAGGGTCCTGTGCTCTTGTTGGGCTTTTTTGCTCAAGGCTGTACTGGTACTCTGCCACTTTAGCTACACCTCCAGTTCTGGCTTGTTGTTAGTTAATTGGCGATAACACTACTTAGGCTTCATCTGCTGGGTCTGACCTCAAGCCAAGATCATCAAATCTCAGCCTCTTGAGTAGCAAGGATTATAGGCAGAAGCCATTGTTACACAGCTGGATTGTTTTCTTCCAGTAATACTTAGAAATGCTATTATCTATGTTTTTAAAGTTTTTTGTATGATTTAAAAATACATGGTGTTACTTAATATGGCTAAACCATGCATCCCATCCTTACTTGTATTATGGATAGATCAGTGAAGAAGTGGTGGATATGAATTCCATGTTTGGAGCTAACTCCTAAGTTCTGAGCAACCTTTTGCCATTTTGGAGAGAATATAGAGAAAATCAAGTATGGACTAAGTTTCCTTTTGGTATTCTTTCTTTTCCTCTGGAATCTACTGTGTCATGGTGGAAATAATGGTGCCCATCCTGACTTCCAGTTACTATTACATACTTTGAGTAGAAGTTCAGTTTCTTTTATAAGTACAATTTGTACTCAGTTTTGAATTGTGCTTTGTGTGAGACTTTCATCCAGCATTACAGGATTATCCTTTTGTACTTGGTAAGTACCAAATGAGTTGAGCTGCATGCAGCAAAACCAAACATTTCAGACCCATTCTGGGCCAGCTGCTGGGTTTGAATCCTGGCTCTGCTGCTTACTAGCTGCTGACCTTGAGCACATTACTCTGCATATTTCACCTCTGTGGAAGAGGCCAACTACATGTCTTGGTGGGCCATTGTGAGGACCGAAGGAGCAAGCTCAGGTTTAACTAGAATAATGCTTGGAATGTGCTGCCCACTATGTGCGCTCATGTGTTTTGAAATGTTTTTGGTGTTTTGGAGTCATTTCTGTTATTCGTCTTCAATTTGATAGATTTCTACAGAGAAAAAGGATCAAGATTATCTCTTGATATTTCTCTTTTACACTGGAAGGATGAGGTCTAACATAAGAAGAGCATTGCTTCTGATCATAGTTGAGGGTAGATAACTTGTCAGATGTTTGAGACTCAGAATAACTGAATTGTCCGTGTTTATCTGTTTGTTTGTTGGGGAGCTGGGGATTGAACTTAAGCCTTGCACATGCTAGGCACATGCTTTTCCACCCAGCTACACTCCAGTCCCCTACCAAGTTTCCTCTCAGTCAGGGAGACTTTGAGTTTTTAAAAGTAGGTATGTGCCATTTCCTCACAAAGTTTCTAAAAACAAGAATAAGAAAGCGCTGGTGGCTCATACCTTGCTGCTCAGAAGGCTGAGATCAGAGGATTGCAGTTCGAACCTAGCCTAGGCAGGAAACTCCCAATTAACCACCAAAAAACAAAAACAAAAAAAACCCTGGAAATGGAGCTGTGGCTTAGGTGGTAGAGTGCTAGCCTTGAGCAAAAAAGCCCAGGGACCGGCTTAATTACAGGTGATAGTTCTGGTATAATTATAGTTAGCCTTTTTTCACTTTTTATCAGTGTTTTCTATGTTACTGCCTTCTCATAGCTTAAATAACGTCTCCATGATAGACACAGTACATTTATCTCATTTTTCAGTGTTCTGTAATAGAACTGAAGAGCCCTGCTTGTTATACCCTCGTGCCAGCAGGTAAGGCAGCAAGTGCCCTTTGCTACTGAGTGTTTCAGTGTCAGGCAGTAGCAAGATTGTGGACCCTCTGATTTATTTGTGTGTTTCAGGGGGAGAATATAGAAGATATTCCAAAGGAGGTGCTAATGGACTGTGCCCACCTTGTGAAGGCCAACAGCATTCAAGGTCAGTTTCTTCCAGATTTTCACGATCGGCAGACTGCCTGCATCCTTCCCTCCCTCCCTCCCTCCCTCCCTTCTTCCCTCCCTTCCCTCCTTCCCTCTCTCTTCCTCTCTCCCTCCCTTTCTCCCTTTTTTTCCCCTTTCTCCCTTGGTCCCTACATCCCTCTTTCCCCTCCTTCCCTTCCTTCCTGCCTATCTTTTTATCTTTTTTGGTTAAAATGTAACTGATTCCTAAAAAGCTGGAGATTGGATTTAAGTGTTGATTATGATTTCTAAGGGTTATCCTAACTTCAGTCCATTAAACCACGTGGATAACAAGTACTGACTTTTTTTTTTTTTTTCTCCAGGCTAGCACTCTACCACTTTGAGCCACAACTCCATTTTGGGTGTTTAATTAGAGATAAGAGTCTCACAGAGACTTTTCTGCCTGGGCTGGCTTCAATCCTCAGATCTCAGCCTTCACAGTAGCTAGGATTACAGTGTGAGCCACCAGTGCAACCTGACTCTCTTTATTCTGAAATGAATCACATTTTAGTAGACTTGTTGGCTTTGGCTTGAATCAAAGGAATTGTAGCTAATATCTTTAAGGTGGATGGCAGTTTTGCTATCTGTCAAAAAAACAAAAATTCTCCCCTCTCTCTAATTATTATGGTATTTCTTTTCCTTAACTTGAATGGAAGGTTGTCTAGATTTGCCTACACTTAAGGTTATTTGTAAACAGTCTTAGAAATTTGTCAGTGTTGCCGGGCGCTGGTGGCTCACGCCTGTAATCCTAGCTACTCAGGAGGCTGAGATCTGAGGATTGCGGTTCAAAGCCAGCCCGGGCAGGAAAGACCGTGAGACTCCTATCTCCAATAAACCACCAGAAAACCGGAAGTGGCGCTGTAGCTCAAGTGGTAGAGCGCTCGCCTTGAGCTGAAGAGCTGAGGGACAGCGCCCAGGCCCAGAGTTCAAGCCCCACGACCGAAAAAAAAAAAAAGAAATTTGTCAGTGTTGATAGCTAAAGAGAGATGACTTTATTTTTAATGTTGATGTCTTTTTGGTTTGTTTGGGACAGATTCTCTCAACCTATTCCAGGCTTACCTTGAACTTGTCTTACATATTCTCTTGAGTGCTAGAATAACAAGTGTGTACCACCACACTCCCTTCTTGCTAATGTCTTTATTTCTGCAGTTTACTATTGGACTCTAGAATTAGAGTGTTGAAATTATGATTTCCTAGTTTTTCCTTTCCTCTTCTTTTCATATACTGCTTTTTCCCTTTAAGTTGTAAGGTCATCAAGTAATCTTTTTTTTGCGGGGGGAGGTCCGGTCATGGGACTTGAACTCTGGGCCTGAGCGCTGTCCCTCAGCTCTTCAGCTCAAGGCTAGCGCTCTACCACTTGAGCCACAGTGCCACTTCCAGCTTTTTTTCTTTTTGCTTATGTGATGCTGAGGAATGGAACTCAGGGCCTCAGGCATGCAAGGCAAGTGCTCTACCACTGAGCCACCTTCCCATCCCCTTCCCTGAGAATCTTATTTAGTTGATTGTGTGTTGGTCTGTGAATATCACTAGTTTCAGAAAGTTTTCCAGGTGATTCTCAAGTGCAGTGTGGGCTGAGAATAGTTAGCCTAAATGTCTTAGGCAGTACCTGGAGTACTATTTGGTGCTTGTCATTTCTGCTGTGTAAGATTTAGTCTACCAGTGAAGGCCAAAAGAGATGAGGGGAGTTTGGAAGTGATGGTCTGCTACGCTAGATGGAGCTAATAGGTCAGTGTTAGAGGTTGGACCTAGACTTGCATAGGGTCGAGATCATTTTGGTTTGATGCGAAGTTGAAGGATGATTTGAGGGTTGACAAAAAGTAGAAAATAAACATGGGGCAGACACAGACCTGGTACCCAGTTGGAGGTTGCAGGGTAAGAGCTGGCAGCTCTTCTTCCTTCTTCCTTGTCTCTTAAAGACACTGGTTCCTTAATCTTCACTCAGGAAGTCTTAGGAACGAGTCAGGTTCAAGGCCAGGAAGGCAGAGGTCTTGCCTTATGGAGCCACCCATTTTCCACTCCATAAATCGGCAGGTTGTAATGAGGTTGGTGTCATTCTCTTTTATAAGTAGGCTAAGTTCTCTTAGCTCTTCAGTTATTGACATAAAAATTGAGATAATCATTATCCTTTTGCCACTGTGTTCCAGCCTCCTCCACATAGCTTTGTTCCTCCCTGTGTCCAAAGAACTTTGGGCTCTTCATCCTGTGCCCTGTGTCCTCTTAATCTCTTCACAGTTTACTAGTTCTAGAGAAAACAAGCTGGGGGAAGAGTCTTAAATCTGAATTGCCCCCGCTGTCCTCTTCAGCCGTTGCACAGCACAAGGAGTGGAGCCTGGCCTTCAGCTCTCCGACTCTGATGCGGAGCCTGCTGGGGACGCAGGACAGCAGTCTCTGCTGTGAGGACTACAGAGGGCAGTCCATGCCTTGTACTTAGAAAAATTCCCTCCTGCTTAACACCAAGAGAGCGGAGATTAAATTTGTTTGTTGTCATGGAATTAACCTGTTCCTGGTCTTAAGTGTAGAATTGTAGGTTAGCCTGATGTATATCAGCTGAGGAACATTGCCAGACAGAACTAACTCCCTGAACGTTGAGAAGACTCTGTATCACCCTTCCCTGCAGAGTGCACAGATTTTAAGCTAGCACCTAAGCATCTCTAGCCTGACTCAAAACTTGTGTCCCTTCTCATAAGTTCATTCTGGCCAAAGCAAGTCGTTGCTGTTTCTGATTGTGTGCCCTTGCTTACATTGTTCCTTGTGCTTTCAATTCTGTCCTCCTCAGTCATTACTTGAGCTAATCAGAGATAAGGGTCATAAGACAGAATAGAATAGTAATCGATAACACTGGAGTATTAGTAGTTACCTGCCTGGTCCTTCATAAACTCTTGAGTTAATATTATTTTCATTTGATGGATGAGAAAACTGAGCTTAAGGATTAAGGAACTTGCCCTAGGCCTCAGAGCTGTGGAATTGTTGTCCAGGCCAGATCTGAGGTGAAGCCATCTGACTGTGAAGTCTTCTGTTTTCACCCGGAGCTCTATGCACCTCTCCAGGGATGCTTCCCCTTCCCCGAACTTCCTCAGTGCCTGGCCTGTACCATCCCAACAGTCGTTGATGCCTTCCTTTTCATAAACCGGTTATTATTTGTGTATTTACCACAGTGCCTTGAACATGGAGATTATTTTTTAAAGAACTGTTCATTTTAACTTAAACTTTTTAAGCCTACAGAAAAAAAATGTAGCTTTCACTTAATATTAGCAATTTAAATTTTTTCATATTTGTTTTTTGTCCATGTCACTGTTAACTGTTTTAGTTGAATCATCTGTAGGAAGTGGATACTGAGCCTTCAGCATCTGTCTCCTAAGAACACTTCTTGTTTCTATTTCTTGGAGGTCTTTTTTTTCTTTCTGCCAGTTGTGGGCCTTGAACTCAGGGCCTGGGCACTGCCCCTGAGCTTCTTTTGCTCAAGGTTAGAACGCTACCACTTGAGCCACAGCACCACATCAGGTGCTGTTTATGTGGTACTGAGGAATCATACCCAGGGCTTCATGCATGCTAGATAAGCACTCTACACTAAGCTACAGTCCCAGCCCTCCTTGGAGTTCATTTTGATAAACATCATTTTATATGATCATATGCACATAGCTATTGAGCCTTTGTGATCCTCTCCTAAGGATATTCTCCTTTGGTCTTACTGTATGAATGTTAGTCTTGTTTACTTTATCATGTCCAAGTGTAATTTTTTTGTCTTTTACCACCCAGTGTATTTTACTTGTGGATTTATAGGCACATGTTCTAAACCAGGATGGGTGAATTTTGGTTTTTGTGACATAGGGTCTTACTGTGTAGTTCAGATCACCCCCACACTCATGACCCTCCTTCATGTGTGTTTTTCCTTGTCATAGCTCTTTGGTATCTGATCTGGATGTGCTGCTTTATAAATATCAGGACATTAATTTTTAAAGGGTACAGGTCAGGAGAGGAGTATCCACAGTCTGGGTTTGTCTGCACCTTTTCTTCTTGACTAGAGTCGCTATGCATTTTTCAGCAGAAAACTGCAGAAGTGAGGTTTTCGTCACTCCAGTTAGGCAGCACAGGACATGACTGAGGTGGAGTGCTCTGGCTTCTCCAGGATATGGGGACCATAGCTGTTTCACGTGGAAATGGCGGTGCAGCACATCAGACTAGCAATACACCTGTTATTCTCAGCTGCTGGGAGGCTGTTAGGAGTGGAGGGAAAACCGCGCGGTGAACTTGTTACAGTGACAGGAGAGGACACAGCAGGTGAACAGTGTGCCTGGCAACCTCTCGTCTAGCCTGTGAGAGCTGTGATGACCTTTTTTTTCTTTTTTATTGTGATTAAGTAATTGCATAATTTCCCAAATTTCACAATATTGTGGGATAGTGATGCTCATTTAAAGTCACAAACTCATTCTAACTTTCCTGGAGCAAATTGTCTATCACGGTCTATAAGATATAACGGTGTACACATATATACCATACATGTGATCAGCAGCATGGGGTTATTTAGTAGTGGTTCAACCAGATGAGTGGGAGTTCTTTGTTTCTTAAGTCCTGTTAATTTTGTCGTATCACCTAACATTTTGGATTTAACATCCACTTATCAGGGAGACCATGTACCGTTTGTGTCTTTGTTCTTGGCTTACCTCGTTCAACATGATTTCTTCTAGCTCCATCCATTTCCCTGCAAATGCCATTATTTTGTCATTTCTAATGGCTGCATAATATTCCATTGTGTATAGATACCACAATTTTTGGATCCATTCATCTGTGGTGGGGCATCTGGGTTGTTTCCATATCCTAGTTATTGTGAACAGTGCTGCAATAAACATGGAGGTGCATGTGTCCTTGTATATTGGTTCCTGTTGTTCAGGGTAGATGCCTAGAAGTGGTATGACTGGGTCATAAGGGAGGTCAATATTTAGCTTTCTGAGGACCCTCCAGACTGCTTTCCAAAGTGGTTGT